TTTTTTAGGTACTTTTGTAATGCCTCTATGACTTCATTGCTTTATTTATTTATTCTTTAACATTTTAAGGCCTCATATGAGAGGATGTGGAGGGAGAACTTATCCTGACAGACTCCAAAGATATCACCTCACAGTGCTGCAGTGTCAGTAGAACGACTTTTTCACCATCCAATTCCAAGACAAACTAAATTATCTGAGCAAAATTGCCTGGGTTTTTTGGGGGTTTGGGTTTTTTTTTTGGTCAGTGTCTGTCTTTTTTACAGTGCTTTCTTTTAGCAAAACTGTCAGATAGGAGGGTGTTCTCACTTTCTCCTGCTTTCCCCGTGCTTCTGACTGAGGTAACCATGCTGGCAGGAGTTCTACAGAGAGACCAGATCTTAGCTTTTTTGGAGTCCATGTCAGTTTATGAATAAATCAGTAAGTCAGTAAATCAGTGAAAGGGAAGACCTCACTTAAATGGCTTACAAAAGGTAAAATGCTGAACGAATGTAAGGTTTGGGAATAAGAACACAAAACTTTGCATCCTGGTTGGATATGCCAGTAGTTCTCATTCTGACAGTTTGGAAACCTTGTAAAATCCTTGCTCTGACGAACTAAGTAGAAATTCAGTTGTTTGCTTTATTTTGGTTAGGATTTACCATATAGTTAGCAGATGACTGCTGTATAGAAGAGAAAACTTTTTCAAAGGAAAATGTATATCTGAAGCAGGTTTGCATAAAGGAATGAGGATCCCTCTGTTTCTTTGGTAGACATTGTTTTGAGAAGGTGGCATATGAGCTGAAACATTGGTGGCCTCTGGCACCACGCTGAAGATGCACCAAATATAAATATGCCTGGATAGACTCTCAACACATTCTGTAAGCTGATGCCTCTTGGTATTTTTGAGATTTTGAAATACCCAAGATACAGGCTTCTTTTGAAAACTAGCTACTGAGCATGCACTACAGCCATTTTTCATACAGCTTTCATCACTGCAGAGTCTTTCAGCTCAGTATTACTGCATAGTATTGTTACTTAAGATTTATCAACCTTCAGTTCTCAGGGTGTAATGTCTTGGCTGTTTCAAATCGTGTCTGGCTGCCAGCCAAAATCAGAATTTCTTCACAAAACAAGAGCTGGAAAGAGCCAACTTGTCTGTGCTGATTTTGATTTATTAAAAGACTCCAGATACAGATTGACATTTTTCAGCTCAATATTTGACTTTCACCAGCCTTGAAATGGGAACTGTGAGGGCTTTGATAAACAGCTGAAAGGTTTGCCTGGTTTCACTACACCCTCTTTTGCCTATCTTTTTAGATTTTTTATTCCCTCTTTTAAAAATAATAACTGTTCTGCAATGCTTAGTGAATTACCAGGAACATTGTTAGTATGCTTTAAGGACAGCTTTCCTTCATTTGCCAATAAGAGAAGTGCTTTGGTGTTGGAAGCATACCAGAATGGTAGTGCTGCATAACAAGAACCCCATACTACAGTGTTACCAGTATGAACAGTTCTCACATTTTCAGTGTAGGTGGTATGCCTGCCATGTTATTCTGAATTGTTTTCCAATGTGTTTTACTAAAATGGCTTCCTCTCCCGGATGGATGAGTCCTTAGAATCAGAGCCTTATCTGTTCTATAGGTACAGCAGGGCTGAGCAACCTGCTTGCAGTACAGTTTAAAAGACAGTCATTTTTTGTAATGTAAACGAGCTCTTTTCCAAATGCTTCGGTTTGCTCACTTCTTGGGCAGCCCTTGGCTGCAAGGGTGTTTGCTCTGATCCCACTGCAGGAAGAATTTCAGTAGGGTACAGCTTTGGGATTGTTCTAGGACATTGATAACACCTATTTCTGTACCTCATATGGAACTATGCTTCAGTTGTCTTGGACAGCTATTAAAAGCATACCTGTTGGTAATTGAAAGGTACAAAAGAGTTGAAACTCCCGAGTGTACGTTGTGGAAAGGAAAACCATGATTTGTTCCAGTTGATCTTATCCAGGCTAGAATCTAGGAAGGAGCAATGTACACAGCAGCTCCCTTGTTGTTTTTGTAGTATGGTCAGGCTCTTAGGAAACCCCTAAGAAGTATGCACTAGAAAAACAACTGGAGCGTTGCTGGGTATGAGTTGATATTTCCTAGATTCTAGTCTGGATAAGTTCAACTGGGATAAGTCATGGTTTTTCTTTCCAAAACGTATGCTTGAGGTTTAAATTCTTTCACACCTGTAAATGACCCCGTTGAGTGTATATGGCTAAATGGAACATAACACACAGGGTCAGGGACACAGTGGCAGGTTTTTGTTTTATAAATTATGTCATATTTCTGATCCCAGAATGCAGTATAGATAGCTGTGTTGTGGAAGGCTCATTTAATCTCTTTTGTGGAGCTGTTTCTTAATTGTGCTTCTGATTCGGTTATGTTTATTGCACAAACGTAAAGAGTAGATGATCTGAAAAAAACTGTTTTCATCCAAGGCAATTAAATGCTATTGTTGAGATTTCTGTGTAGTGTTCTGCCAATGAAGTTAATGTATGATAAGATTTGTAGGTGTTTTGGAGAATAATTTTAGAGTTATGAATTATGAGCTATCAGTTATGAGCTTCATTATGCAAAGTCCCATATGGAATGCAAGGGAATGGAAGGGCTGATATTGAGTTTAATGAAGTTGTGCTTAGTGCAAACACCACTAGAAAGCAAGCAGATAATGTTAATGGGATAGAACATTTCCACAGAATAATGGTTTCCTGCTGTTAGATAAAAACCAGAGACCAAGCAAATGTTTATTTTCCAAGTGGGAGACATAGATTTGATGATGATGTTACACTGAAATGACTTGTCTTTTAGGCAGAATGACTGATGCAGATGTAATCACTTTAATCTCATCAGTGATGGATTAGACAGATTGTTGCCACTGTAATTATTTTTACACTGTAGACTTTATTCCAGTTGATAAGAGACCTCTGATATCTGTTATTTTGTGTTCCCACATTACACCCTATAATAACAGCTGCTAGATCTGTTCTTTCTGATCCCAGACGAGATTTAAACAACTGTAACCTCTACTCGTATCCGAAGTATTAACATAATGAATGCTTGCTCTGCCATGTATTTCCCTGATGGTGTGACTTCAACAAAATTGCTTATTTTGCTAATCTTGCTTTTACTGTATGACTACTACAACATATCTGAGCTGGCTCGATATCTTTGAAGAGGTCTCTCTCTCCTGACCATTCATTCCATAAAGAAAGTTGTCGATATCTTAATTTCTGCACAAAGGAGAAGAGGCAGGAAGCTGGTTTTTGATGGGAAGGGATAGGTGTGTATCTCAGGGAGAGCACTGGAAAGAGGCATTGGGAGTTAAGGATACCCTTTTGCACCAACAGAAATTTAAGGATGGTCTTTGATTGTAGTTGTAAGTACATGCGTTGTACCTGTTGCAGAAAGGCTCGGATGCCTTTTTGACCATTTGTTTTCTCTTTTAGGGTCAAGGGAAAACCTTTCAGTTTCCCAACCTATTTCCAGAGAAAGAAGACTCAGAAGCTGAGGCTTTTCATGACTTCAGGAAAACGTTCATGGAGAAAGAGCAGCAGAGCCAGAAGGGTGACCCCAGACGAGGCGGAGTCCCCGATTGGTTTGGACTTTGATGCAAGAAGCCAGCTGCCTTTCTTTAGGCTCAGAGGGATTTTAATCAGTAGAACTTGCACTTTTCTTGTAATGACTGCGGGTTTATCCCTGAGCATTGCTTGCTAGTGTGGTTGTTTTGTTTTTTTTCCCTAGCTGTTTATGCTCGACTGCAACAAAATGGCCTTAAAGAAATAAAAAGGTAAAATAAATCTGACTGCATCAGATCTTTCCTCTGAACTTGGGGACTATTTCTGCAATGTGAAATTGCTTGTTGTTTCTGATTGTGAGTGTGTCATTGTACTTACCTTCTTCTTCATTCCACAGGTCATGTGAGTAGAAGTAGGAGGGATTTTGTTTCCCAGGATAAGCGTGTTTTGCACTGAATAGAATGTATAGAAGTCATGACAGGACAGCTGAAGTGGGACGAAAGCTTGTAGATAATTAGACTGCAGGCTCAGAGCATGTGTTTCCCTTATTGTCAGTTACTGTGTTTCACTGTCCTGTGCACTGCCTTCCTTCCAAAGCTGCCCCATTTCCTGGAGATGCGTGCGTGGTCTGATTTCACTCCTCCCTTAATGGCTATGTGGTATTTTGGACATAGGTTCTTCTAGATAGACTTGTGGCTGTGTGTGTGTGATCCCCAGAAGTCTTAAGAAGTGGACAGAGGTGGTGCACAGTCCTTGCTAGCTGTTGTGCAATGCAGGTAATTGCTTTCTGTGATCAGTCTGCCCCAGGAACATTTAAGGGCTCAGTTGTGCTAATATTCCTTCCTCTGCCCACAGCTACCTTGCAGTGCTGGCAAGAGTCCTGTGTAGACACAGTTGTATTGGCATAAAAACGATTCTGCAAGTGTAGACTGTTTTGTGCTCTGGACTAGTAAAAAGACTCTTTTTACTTCACTGGTGCACCTCCCTTTACTTCCAAGTTGTTGGTGCCAGGGCAGTGGTAGAACTTTTTTAGTCCTCCAAGGCTGCCACGTTTAGGTTTTTCATTTCTTGGCTCTGCAGCTGTTTCTCCTTGCTTTGATGAGGTTATTTTTTCTTACCCTTTGTCAAGTAAAATGCTCTGCTGGTGTGTCAGGAACGGCAGGGGAAAAAGGAGTTCTAGAGAGGCCTTTATCATGGATAGAAGGAAGGATGTGCTTCTGCAGGTTGTTAGGTATAATGCTGGCATGTGCAGGGTTAAATGTATGGTTCATGTTTCCTCAGCTTCTGAATTCTGCCACTTGGAGCAATTGGCAGGGTAGTGAATAAGCTCTTGCCTTGAACACATCTACTCAGGTGCTCTCCATTATTGTTCCGTGCCTGAACTTTTTGTTTGGACAGCTAGCAAGATGTTTATAAGGAAACAGCTGTTCCCCAGAGAGACGATCCAAGTAAGATTTTATGCACCCCCTTCTGTTCGTTAGTTGCCTCTTTCCCCCGGCTACATTCTCTCTGCACAACAGTCTGTTGCTTACAGCTTCGGTGTTTCTCCCACCCCCATCTTTATGTAGCATCCAAGGGGGATTGTGTGTGAGAAAACTGTGTTAAAAAGAGAGATGCTCTCTGAGAAGAGGGAGATAAAGGAGGATTTGCTACTCGTAGCCTGCCAGGAGAGTTACAATAGTAGATGTGGAAAAGTACTGAGTTCACTGAAAAAAAGTGTTTGTGTTTGGCATATCTGCAAAGCCAACACTTCCAGAGTTTTGTAGTGACATGTAAAACTTCAGGTTAAATTGGGAACTGGCCTGCAGTTTTGAAGTGTGAGGGCTGAATTTGTCTAGGTAAAAGGGTCTCTCTTCTGCTGCATATAGTTTTCCTAGCATTCCCCCCTTCCCCTCTTACTTTTTTTTTTTTTTTTTTAATTAATGGGCTTGTTTTCAAACTTCCACCTCACTTTGAAGTTGATCCATTCTGGGTCTGAATCTTTGCTCCTACTCTATAGTATCACAAAGTTTGCTGGTTTTTTTTCATCATTTTCCTTTGTGTTAGATTCCAATTTAGGTAACTCCATCTTTACCAACATGACAGTGAAATGACAAGAATTCATCTAGTGCTGCCATATAACTTCCTAGCTGATTGGTCAGCCTTGAGCAAGTGAACAGACAGGTATGTGGTAGTTCTGGATAAGTGAGGGTGTATGCCATGTGTTAGGTGTAACAGCAAATTGAGATATTAACCACCAGGCTCTCTACTTTCTGTGTTGTGGTCCTCAGGAGAGTCACCAGCTTCTGTATTGGCATTGAGAACTTAGGCTGAGAGGAGTTTATTTGCAGTACCAAATATGCACTAGGCTGAGTGAGCATGAAATGTTACAGGGCAGGTCTACCATGCTTTGCTACACTGATTTCTCCATGGATGATTAATTTTTAGCTCATGTTCAAAACAGGTTTCTGACTGGAGTGGCACGAAAGGGAAGAAATAGATGAGTGTACCCATATCTATATGAAGTTGCTACAACCAAATTATGGCAGATACTCAAGCAACTTAAGAGAGAGAACTTATGTTACCAGCTTCCTCTAAAACAGTGTACCTGTGAAATTAAGGTAAGGTTAAAAAAAAAATAAAATTCGAAGTCCCATTTGCTTTAATGCTCAGTTTTCCCAAGGAAGTGTGACTGTAAAGGTGCCAAATCTTTCCTAGTCCCTTGTTGACTAGTGTTTCAGAGGAGGTGCTAGATCTTCATATACGTAGTGTTTCACAAATCCTGTCCCCTGCACTGTACAGGTAGGTTAGAAAGTAATGGAGGTAACACTTGTACGTGAAGTCAGAGTTTCTTTCAGGAACAAAGAAACATAGAAGATGAGTGGTGAAGCAAAGACAGTGAGGTCTCAGAATTATGTAGTTGTGTTGATTAAATCGTGCTCATTCCAGCACATCTTGATGTTCTGGATGATGCAAGGGATCAGCAAATCCTGTGAGGTCACATGTAGCCTGCTTTCAGCGGTGTCAAGCTGTCCTTGGCAATGTCAGTAGCCATACCTGTGGCCAAGAGTTCCGAGTACACATGAATAACTTCTCCAAGGACCAAAGTAAAGACTTGGTTGAAGCTTTAGTGCAGGAGAAGCCACATCCCCCACTTGGCGTGCACAGCTCTGCAGCTGCTGGCTTCTCTGATGTCAAGGGGAGACGTTTCCCCTTTGTACGTGTACAACCCCCCGAAGAGAGCAACGTGCTGGAACAGTCAGCAGATGCGCAATTGCCTGCGTAGGCCACTCTAGGTGGAGAAAGGCACCCAGCTATGATGAGATCTGTTGCAACCATACCATTAACGCTTCAGAGGGAACACACAATTGCTTTTTGTTTACTTGTATTATTTTTTTACATCAAACCAAAATGAATTGCAGAGACAGTGGCTTCGTAAAGTGACTTCTTTGACATTATAGCTTTGAAATGCGTTTTGCACTGTAGCTCTTGCTCAGTTGGGTGCTAAAGATAGGTTCCTTGTAGATCATGTAAAAAAGAGGGGTTGTGTGCAGGTGACAGAACCCCAGTCTGTTCTAACCATTTGTCATCTGAGCCTCGCTACATGACCTCAGAGAATGGAAATGTTTCTCTTCAAGAGATTGAACTAGGAAGGCATATAGTGCAGTTCAGCTGGTAAGTGGTTAGTCTCAGAGTTCCATTTTCTGTGTTTAAGCCATGCTGTGTCAAAGATGAAGTGTATCCTGCAGATAAGTGGCTAGTTTTATGGTCTTTGTGCATCGTCCCTTCTCTGTTAGGCTACTTAATGGTTAAGAGAAAAGGCTAAGTAAAATAAACAATAGAAATGAAGCAAATACAACTTCATGGTGTATCTAGCAAATATTCCATAGCAAATAGCTCTGTATAGTGGAAAACCAAGTAGGAGGGAGGGTAAATGGCTCACTTTTGTGGACAGATAAGATTGGGAATGGGTAATCTGGAGCTTCAGATGTCTGCTTCCATACTGGGACTCCCTAATTACACATCTGCCGAAAGAAGAGTATTCAACAGTCTGATCCACTGTTGTCCCACTGTTGCTAAATATTTGAATGGATGAAACAGTGGGAAAATTGTGCTTGCTTGATCCAAAGTTGTCTTGCTGTGGGAAAGTGTTCATAAGTGGAAAACACCTGATCTGTTCAGGTTATCTCAACTGTATGAAAAAATCTGTGAGACAGACTGCTGCTTTTTCAGCAGTTGCCTGTTCATTGGCTTGAAGAGAGAGGTAAGGGTTGGGTGGGGGATGTCTGCTTACTGTGTGAATCAGGCAGGGTGCACAAAACAAGCACTATGTTTGCTAGAAGGGCTGAAAGCCATCAAACTCTTGTATTGACAATTCTGCTTTCTCCTGAAATAGAGTTCAAGGTCTGCTCAGAGTCCAGTTTAAAACAGTTCTTTGAGAATGTCTTTCCAGACATGAGCCTTGGCTTATGTGCCAGTGCTCTTTGGTACCACGGCTAAAAAGCAGCATTGTGATAATCCTTTTTGACCTCCTGAATAACACAGACCATAAAATTTCATGCAGTAGTTTCTGTGTATGGGCTAGAAAATTGCAGTTTCCATACCTGGCATGGATTTCAAGGCTTGAACTTGACAAGCATCGCAGGCCGAATTATATTTCTTTAAATAAGTTGGGCCCAAGCACCGTATTGTCATCTGACCTGTGAATTTCTTAAAGTGGTTGTAATAGGGAAAAATGACCATTACTGTTTAAGATTCATGTGTTTGTGGAGAAGAGAGGTAATTCTTATAAATATTATTTTCTTTAAATGGGAAAGGCTTTAGAATAGCTGAGATGATATCCTAGGATGAGACATTTCTTTTAGAGTGACTTATGGCTGTTTAGACAGAATTTACTCCTTGTATATAGTATGGCTTATCAAAGTGTGTGCTGCTGTTGTGGGCACACCCAGCTTGTAGAACTCATGAGGTATCTCGTTGTTTATTCTGTGGCCTCGAGTCTGCTGCAAAACTGATTGTTTTCGTTTCAAAAAGTAACTAATTATCAGTTTCTTAACCTTTTCTGCCTTCAGCTGTTAGCAAGTGCAATGAATGGAAAGCGATTACAACTTTGGAGGCATTGCATTTTCTTCTGTGGTGGCCAGTAGTTCAGAAAGCATCATTAGGCCACATGTAGTATTCTAGGCACATAGGTCTTAGGATCTGGTCCTTACATAATGCCATCAGTGCTTCATTTTTCCAAAGTTTTGGGTTGAAGAGTCAGACCAGTGTCAGTGATTCAAGGCTTGGAAAAAGTCCTTTTCTAAAAAAAGGCTGGGGAAGCTCCCTCTGTGGAATCAATGTGGTTTAGAAGCATTTTTACTGTTGTCCATTCGAACGTACCTTGAAAAAAATAATTACTGAGAGGCAAAGCATACTTTAGCATAGCAGGCAAAGGTGCAGCAAAGCAAAGTGAGTATTCTGGAAACTAAATGACTGTGGAGTGGGCAAGTGAGAACCTTATTAAGGGAGGGAGAGGCCAGGGAGTTGTTCTGGATCGCATGGTGCATTTCCAATGAGCCTGTGCTGAAAATGCAGAGCCGGTGAAGGGCCTCCTAGGTCAAACAGTCCCTTTCCTCCAACAGAGACTGCTGCAGACCGAGCTGTGCCAATGCTTGCACACATGGCAAACCCAGTGTGTGGTGTGTCACAACAGCTGTCAAAGACTGGTCATCATACCCAGAGTCTCTAAACATCCTGTTTATCCCTGCAAGGAGGAACACTTGATTGAAAGATAAATACCAAAAAAAAAAAAACAAAAAACACCCAACAACCAAAACTGGTGCTAGAAACAACATTTGCCCTTGGGCTAACAAACCTGAAAACAAAAGAAAATAAACATAGGATGGAGGCAAACAGATTTCCACACAAGGCCAGATTCTAAAAGGGATTTAGGAGCTTAGCTTGTTTTGGCATGCTTGAAAAAGAAACAGTCGTCTGGGTGCCAGGATTCTTTGGGCTCTGTATGTGTGCGCGTGCATCGGGGGGAGAGCCTGGGGAAAGGCGAGGTGGCTGCGGTGTTGTGCAGGGAACTGGAGGACATTGGAACTGCCAGAAAGCTTTGTGCAGGGTCACCCTTGGGGCATAGCTTGTACATTTAATTTTTTTTCTTATTTTCTATTTTTTTGGAAAAATTTAGCATACTGAAAAGATCTCCACGTTGGCAGTGAGATTTTTTTTTTTCTTCTTCTTCTTTCTTCTCCCTCTGTTTGTTTGTTGTTCATTTGTTGCTGCACGGGAGGTCTGTTTACTTTGCTCAAGAGAATGAGGGACCCGAGAGACGTTGCTCTGCATGCAAAGCTTTTATGGAAGGGGCTAGGGGAGGAGAAGGGGAGGAACTTTCCAGGCCTTATGAAACACTACTGAGGGAGTCTGTGGGTTGTTTCGTTTGCTTCTTTGCCCGGTCCATGTTGGGTTGGTATTGCTGTTGGTTCTGTCACGGCTTCAAAGGTTAAGGGCCCACGGGCAAATCTCTACAGGGTTGCGTGAAGGGGACTGAGAAGCCCTTTGACCAGATATTAAGGCTCTGAGTATCTACTGCCTGTTCTGCAGTGTGTAACATCCATCCCATCTGCTTGTGGGGTCTTTAGTGGCAGGTTGCTTTCAAACTCAGTCTCACCACCTTCCTGTTAACCCTTCTGAATGAATTTGGCCCTGAACACTGAGGTGAATTCAGCTGTGCCATTAAGAACCTCCTACAGATAAGCCCAACTCAGCCCTTTGGTCTAGCATTGTAGTGCTTTGAAGGGGATTTTTCCAGAGCTGTGCATTGCATGATTCAGTCAACTTCTGAATGCCTCAATTTCTGCAGGTGGTCTTAATAGAATGTGTCCCAACTGGAGGAAAGGAAATGCAGGTCTGCATTGCTCTGCTTACTTCTTGTCAGCTGGCATCTCAATGGTTGAGGCAGTTTTGTCTAGCCACCCTTCCTTACGACTATAGGAGTAACTTGAAAAGGACAATAAGGAGAAAACTAAGGGTGCTATGCAATGGAGATGAATGTCATTAGGTTGACAAATGGAAATGTCCCCTGGGATGCTTCTTTTGCATGGATTTGCATCTCAGTTCTAAGCACCGAGAGCTCATGAAGTGGACAGCTTACTGCAGTAAGAATTCCTGATGAAAATGATGGATAATTCAAATGGAACAGACTTGAGAGTAATACTGTGTTCTGCCATTTGTAGTTTTCTTACCCTTTTTTGGCTTATAAAATACCAGAAACAGATGGGTCTGCCTGTAACTTCAGTCTTGTTTTTGAAGCACCTTTTTTCTAGCACTGGTCTGTTCTTCTCTACAGCCTTGGTGCACAGCAGAAAGGATAAAATGCTGATTGGCAGAAGGATTTTGTCTGCTTTTGAGTTGACAGTCTGTGATTCTTTTGTCTGTTTCCTGTTTTAACCAATAAGAAAATTGCCTGATGTCCTGGAACATATTTCTGTGTTGTAAAGGACACACCATGTTGTGTGCAGCCAAATGGAAAGGGTGTTGAAGAACCAGCTGTGACTGTGGTTGAGGAAACTAAATAAGTCCTATTGTGAAAAGTGATTGAAAAGCCCAGAAATTATCATTCTAGTGAAGGGAAGAATGTGAGGGAATGTGATTAGAGATGGACTATCAAGAAATATCTCACTTTACCATGTTTGTGAGTGAGGAGTGTCAAAGAAACAAAAGAGAGGGCAAGATAGACTCTGTTACAGAATTATTTTCACTTGACATTGAGTTGTTTAGTGTTGTGCAATTCTTTGCCACAAAATGTCAAGGCCAAGAATTGCTGCATGCAGACACACTCTGGCTGTTTCTGTGGATAACCAAGTTATCAAAGAACTAATAGTAATAATATTAAAAGAACAAGAATTATGGGAAGTCGTCAGTGTCACATGTGTCAGGCCATAAGCCGACTCCAGCAGATGGAAGTGGGGATAGGAAAAGACTTGTTTCATTGGGAAACAAAATAGCCAGTGAGCTGTCTCTCGCAGGGTTTCTTTTTCTGACCTCTGGATCAGCCTCTGTCATGTTTCAGAATACCAGCCAAGACAGAGCTTGGGAAAGATGGCAAGTTTGGCAGCTGGCTTACCTGGAGAATGTCTAGCTGTGTGTTTGACTGTGTAAGGTGTAACACCTTCTGTATTCTTCAGCTGCCAATTGTGCACACCCTTCCCTGGAAGGAAAGGTCATTTTTGTGGCTTGTGAATCAGGAGAGTCAGCTTCCCTTATAGACTACTCAGCTGAGCTTGGATCAGTTCCTTAATCTCTTCTTCTGCCTTGGCTTTGTGTTGTAGAAATTATTCAAGGATGGTCACTTCCCCAACACCCCTGCTGTTTGGCTACCATTTAGGGGTCCATAGTGAAAAGCGTCCCCTCCATTCCCTCTATGGTTGGTGATGTTGCACTACACAAAATATCAATATACTGAGGTTGAAGTCTGGCTTTCTAGTTTCCTTTTATTTATATTTTTTGTATCTCTTTGGACTGTTGGGAAGAAGTAGTGTGGGAGCTTTGAACACCTTAGCTGCAGAGACATTCTGTTCAGTAACAGCTCCTCAATAAAAGAGCTGTTTATTTTTACTGCATTTTCTTTTTGCTGTTTTTAATAACTATAAACAACCTCTGTGCAGAATGTATCTTGAAACTCACGACCAGCTGGGTGAGGGGCCTTTGTATTGATTTCAGGCCTGGGGAGAGAAGAACATAACAGGTCCCTGACTGCTCCAGCCACTTCCTGGCTGCCAAGGAATGCTGGAAGCAGAGGTCCTTATTGCACAAGTAATTAAAGGTTCATCAGCCCTACCTCTCTGATTGCTTAAGGCCATTGTAGTAAGGGACAAATACTCCTGCTTGCTCACTGTTATTTGTTTTCTGCTTGCTCTGTTTTTCTTGGCCTGTAAAAAGGAATTATGAAGACTCTTGAGTAGGATCTGGGAGTGCTGTGGTCTAATGCATTTGGCTGTGGCTCTGGGCATGTTGTGGAACACTCTAATACTGAGAAGTGTAATGTCTTTAAGCACTCGCCCTCTCTTCCTGCTTCTTCCCCAAACCCACACACCAAAGATAAGTGCTTTGAAAGTATTCAAAAAGCAGGTACAAGTTGCTCAGGTCCTGGCACAGAGTGGATGAAGAAGCCAGATGTGGGAATGTCTATAGAGCAGTACATCTGGATGACTGAAGTATCTTCTGCCTTCATATAAGCAGATACAGGGGTCTTACTATAGCTGAGTTGGACTCCAGAAATGTAAAGGGAGGATTTCCTTTGGATTTTATTTAAGGGTCTCCATTCTCTTTCTGTGAATTGAATTCTGAGTCAAGATTTTTCTATATTTTCTCTGCATTATAGGTGAGAAATTACTTTATTTGTCTATTAAATAGACATTGAGACATACATATGAGCAGGAATCTCTTAAAAACAAAAATCACTCTACCAAAGACTGTGAATCTTTGACAGAATCACAAGAGCAGGGCAGACTGAGCCACCCTTTAACCATCTGTCCCTTAAGATCTGGTGTCTTATTTCTCTTGGGAGCACAGCCCACAGACATGAGAAGTCATATTGCTATCCTCCAGTTTTTCCGTCTATGGATGAATGATCACCAGCACCATCAACAAAGCAAGCGCCCATTGCACAGGCTGTCCTTGTGCCTCGAGAGCAGTGGAAGAAACAGCTGAGGAATGAGAAGAAAAAGAGAGCTGGCTTTCAGCCCTGTTGATCCAGGAACATTGAGAGTGAGTCTGGGAATATGGCTGGCACAAGGTGAGAATTTCATTCACTGCTGGGGAGTGTAGAAGGGGGCTGAGCTCGGACTGTGCTTGCTGCCTGCGCCCCAAAAGCCTCCTTGTTGCTGAAGACTGCCCCGGGGAGCCTGGCTGTAGGGGTTTGGCTGTTGCTCAGGAACAGCTTGAAGGGCACATGTTGGGTGGGCAGATGGAGCGGGTGATGGAGATGATCTGATGAAGAAGGGGAAGTGCACAGCGAGAAGCGGAATGACAAAAGGGCAGCCGTGTGGGCGACCCAGTGGGAGTGGAGGAGGGCAATAACTCATCTCAAGAGGAGTGAGAAGCCAGCAGCGAAATTGCCTGGAATAATCGGCTGAGGCAGAAGAGGGCTGATGGAATGATGAGGTCTGGCAGACTTGAGGTTATTCTCCATGTGTGCCTGTCAGGGAGTCAAACAGTTTCCTGGTCAGTCAGCAAGGGCTGCTGATCAACAGCCCTGGTGCTGGTCACAGCCCTGCATGGTCCAAAGTATTGTTAACCACGCGACAGAGCAGAGGGGCATCTTCGGAGGTCCCAGAGGCACAGCATCTCGACACATGAAGGCAGCCCCCGATGCAGCAGCCTTACAACAGACACTGCGTAACGGCCTGTTTTGCATTTGCATTTCATTTGCCTCCCATATGGGATCAGTTTTTCTCTTTTCTTTATTTTTTTTTAATAGTGTTTTTCCTAGTCATAATAATCAGTGTTTCCCCGCCCTCCCTTCATTTTGCACAGCTGGCTTTGATTGGTTTCAGTCCTACAGATGCTCCTGCGGACTGAGAAGAAGGGGCAAAGGTTCCCTTCCTTTTCAACACAAGGCAGGCGGCCTTGCCGGAGGGATGAGGAGGCCCCCGCACTCCTGGACCCGTCGACTCTTCACCCCAGCTGGCCTCTTGTGCATCTGCTGAGGTTTGCCAAATTGCGAGGTAATTTCTCTGCCGAAGGCCTGGAGAAGATCACAAGTCACTGATGGTGTGCATGCCCATTCTCCTGTGCTGTTTAAAAACAACTGTTCTGGTAAGCGAGAGGGGCAGGATCCCCAGACACCTCGTACTTGCAGGATGTGGGTACAAAGGGCCAGAGTGCATCTGTGATCTGGCCTGGCAGAGAGACCTCCCGGCCCATTGGGTCTGACTCACATTTCTGTGAGTGTGCAATCAGGCTTGCGGCAGCTGCAGCCTCTTGTGTCTGACTGTGCAAGGTATGTGATACTTGGTGCAGAGCACATTTAACCTGCGCAACCCCATGCACATGCCACCAGGAGGAATTTTTCTTCCTGCAAACATATGAGTAAGAGGCAGTCTGCGTGCATGAATTGGCATGGAAAACAAACTGGAGGATGGATAAGCAGACTTTCCTGATTTTTAGGGTGTGAGTCAAGCAGAAATTGTGTGGCAGAGAGAAGAAACTTCCCTCAGAGGCAACCTAATCCACAACTGCCCAGTATGGGGTTTCAAGCAACTTCCTTTGAAGCAGCTTGTGCTGGTCACTGTCGGAGACGGACAGCTAAGTCAGTGGTTGCTCAGCCAACGTGTTATGGCTATTCCTGCATTCCAGGCACCATCCAAGAGAATGAGACATAGCATTGCACAAGACTGAAAGAAAGTAAATGTTTACAGGCACAACGCACATTTCAGCTTGTTACATGTTCCTGAGCAGTGAAAGAAATGAAACAATAATTAAAACAGGTCCCAAGTCTCAGTGTGTATCTTGGCTTGCAGCACAGTCCTCTTGGAGTGTTGCCTCTGCCTCTCTCTGATCCCAGCCTGAGCAGCACCACTGGGCTGTTGCATCCAGGTCAAGGTCTTTCCAGTTACTCCAAGTACGTTGTCTTTCTGAGAACTGCAAAAGCCTTTTGGTGAGGGGACTTTATGGCTTGCAATGGATGTGGGTGCTCTTATCTCTGACAGAGACAGTCATGCAGGAATCTGCTTGGGTGACAAGATGCTTGCCTCGGATATCTGAAGTGCAAGGGAAATTACAGATGGACTTATTACCATGGGAGCAGGGTGGAGAAAGTAGAAGAGCAGAGCGGGAGAGGTGTGGACCATTTTAAATAGTTCATTTCCTGAATTATCACTTTTTAATGGTCTAGTTCTGCTTTCGGCAAAGCTGTGTGTGCGATGGAGCAGATGCAGCAAAGAGCTGTATCGGCACACCTGACAGCTGTGCTGGGAAGTGAGCCTGAGTAACTGGCTCTGCACTCCTGCTTCAAGCACAACATTGGTCCCAGTGCAGCTTGGAGGCTGGGATGTCTCCCTGTGGTGAGTCTGTTGGGTGGGAAGAGACAAGGGCTTCCAATTACGTTGTTCTGCCCCCTCTTTTTAAGGAGAGCAGCAGAGGGCTGGGGAGGTTTAGATTTGCGTGGAGCACTCACTCATTGCTTCATCCTTTCTGCTTGGCACAAGGAATTAGGGAGAAAGCAGAAAGGAACAAAACACCCCAGAGATGCTCTGTGAGTGATGGTCCTTCTATATCCCTACCTTCTCCCAAGCTGTGAAGCTTGCAGATTCACCCTGTCCTTCACACTAAGAGAAAATTTTATGTCACCCTGAAGGTTAGTTCTTGGCAAGCAGAAAGAGCTTTTTAGTAATAAGCAGCCCACTATGCACATGGTAGAAGGAGACAGGCTTCCACGCATGCATTACACTGGTCTGGGGTGTAAACTCAGCATCCACTTATGAGCAATAGCCCTAGCTGCTGACTCACCCGCGTCACTTTTCTTGGTTCCCTTGGTTGAGCAGTGAGCTGGCCAGAAATTATTCATTCTACTTGAAATAATTGCTGAGAAAATTGTCTGTTGGAGGTATAAATGTCTAGACTTCCTGCAAGGAGCAGAATGAAGTTCAGAAAGCATAACAGTAACTCATGCAGCAGAATATCTCTAAGAGCACACCTACAACACAGGCTGGTGTGCATATACTGGGCAGAGCAAATGTCCATGGCCATTGCTGAGTCTTCACATAGGTTAGATTTATTTAGCTTCTAAACTAAAGGGCAATTTTAAGTGGCAGCAGCTACATGGCCTCTTGTCTTACGTGACCGAGTTATTTAAAGTTCTTGTTGTTATGGAGAAATGCTGACTTTTCTATAAGGCAAGCTGCAACCTGCTTCTATGCAATATTCTGTTACAGCTTTTTGCTAACTTTGGATAAACAAGGTTTGATTAGAGACTTGCTGGATTTATTCTGAAAGCAAGTAATAATGTTCAAATGAAGTCAAGGGTGGTGTTGGGAAGTTGGCCAATGTGTTTTTCAGTCACTAAGTCAGGAAATTTTTTTTCATATATGAAATTGATGCTTGTGTGTCTTCTACTCAGAAACAACTAATCATCAGCTCTTCAAAGTTTTCATACAGTTAAATGTTAGTAAGTTGAATAGCAACTGTTGTTGAGGAAAATACAAAATAACTGAGTGGTATTATAAATTCTTATTGTTATAGATTACATAGGGAGAATACTGTGGGAGTTAAGGTCCCAAGCCTTAGTCGTGGAATCACAGATCACAGAATCATTAAGATTGGAAAAGTCCCTTAAGATCACCAAGTCCAATCCTTACCCCATCCACACCATGCCCACTGATCACATCCCTCAGTGCCACATCTCAGCAGTTACTGAACACCTCCAGGGATGGGACTCCACTGCCTCCCTGGGCAGCTGTGTGAGAGCCTCACCACTCTTTTGGAGAAGAGATTTTTTGTGTAATGTGTAACCTGAACCTCCTCTGCTGTAACTTGAGGCCATTACCTCTCATCTCAGTAATGTCACTGATGTTAGGATGTTGTTCTGTCCTTCTTCCATCGAAGTTTCCTTGGTACAGGGCGAAACAGATGGGCATGATGACATTTGTTTGAGAGGTATCAAAAATCCTCCTGTAAAGATTATCTGCTTTGATCGTACTGAGACAGTAAAGGCTTGTGTTTGTGAAGAGGAAGAGCCAGATTTCCAGAAGTCTGGTATTTTACAGAATGCTTGACACAAAAGCCATAATTGTGGGATTTTGGTTCCCTTGTTAAGTCCTTATGCTTTCAAATTCTTGGAGCTAATTTTCATTGACAATAGGAACATTCCTTGAAAAATGCTGATGTAATGAAGTACGTGCTACTTGAGATTAAAAGATTTATTCAGTGAGTCCCTTTTGAAACTTTTGCGAAGTATCTTAACATTTTTATGTTTCTTCAACTGCCAACAAAATCACATTGCACCACACAGTTTGCAACATTAGTCAGATTTTGACACTGGCTCACGCAAGAGGCAGTTTTCACAGTCAGGAATCATAAAATGTTAAAGGAATCACCATTATTTGAAAACTAGACGCAGTTCAGTGAAGCAGATGGACTTGCTAACTGTGACTTAGGAGGTCTGTAGCACAGCTGTGTTGACACGGATTATAGACAATCAAAATTGTATATAAAGGGCATGCCATAGTTTTAGTTTTAAGCATATTGCTAACATTTAATGAAGTATGTAACCTTATATGGTTTACGTATTTTTGTACTTTAGCTGCAAGTTATGCTAAGGCCTTGACTAAACCATCCCAGAAATCTCTATTGCTATTTGTAATGCAGTCACGCAGACGTAGAGTGCCAATAAGCCTTTGATTGAATCTTGATTAATGTAAATACACTAAGCCCGTAGGTGCCATTCCAGCCTAGGCAGCTTCTTGCAGCTTTTAACCATGTCCACATCAGAGTCGGCCCTTTTGCTTCACATGATTTCCAAAGACCAGCTGAAGAATGTTTGGACATGTTTGTGAAGGATCAGGGATAGAGACATTTCCTGAAGCCCCTCGCTGCCTTGTTTGCAACACCATCCAATAAAAATTAAGCCCTGAGACAGAAACTTAGGAAAGAAGGAAACAGAATTCTGTATGTTTCACAACTGTACTCTCTGATCCCAGGAGAAAGGTTGGGTAAGAAGTGATGTGATCTTTCTTACATATCTGTTTGTCTTCAAAGTTTCTAGCTAATTTTCTTTTACTAGCCAGGGCTTCTAGCTTAGGTGAACAAGTTGCCAAAGTGTTTCAGTTCACTGCTTTAACTAAGTGGTTCCTTGTCTAACCAAGCAGCATGTAACTGAGTAGGAAATGAGATGTGTTTTGGGAGGAATAAGGCATTGCAAAGCATGGTATATGTTAGCGGGATCTAAATGAATGGGAAAGACCAAAACTAGTGCATGGTGGTGTTTGGTGCCTTTGCACCTGTTTTGGTTGGTGCCCAGCTGTGTCCCAGACTAGGATGTGTGCTGAACATTTGTAACTGCTTCTGTGCGTGGGATGGGACAGGGTTTTCCAGCACTGGAACTGGCTTCTCTTGAAGTAAATCTGTGTGACTGTAACACTCCTGTCTACATCACTGCCAGCACTGTCTAGATATTCTGCTGTGGGGAAAACTGTAACTGCAATGGCAAGTGATGAGAGGAAAATGTGATGATGAGGAAAACACTGCATCGCTTTTGTCCTTCCTGCTATGGTAGTACTCTGCAGTGTCATCTTCTTGAAGATGTCATCTTCAGAGTCTGGTTTACTATATGGATCTGTATACAAAATGGGTTACATCCTCTCCCATTGCCTCCCTGTCTAGAC